CTTTACCTTGCTATGTGTCTGTTTCTTAGAGTATCATATCTCAATGTGACCATTTAACTCAACAACGTGTGTGTGTGTGTGTGTGTGTGTGTGTGTGTGTGTGTTTTACTGGGGTTTAAACTTAGAGCCTGCACTGAGCTAAGCCTCAGCCCTTTTTATTAGCTAAGTTGCTAAATTGCCCAGGTTTGAACTTATGATCCTCTTGTTGCTAGGACTACAGGTGTGTGTCACCATGCCCAGCCTCAATAACTATTTTATATATTACATTTTATATATTTACATATTTATATTCAGTGTGATGACTACCTATATTTCCAAACACTAAAATAAGTAATCTGCATTTAACAAAAATAGGAATCTTTACAAAGTATTAAGTGCAATTACAAATATAGATCTTCATTCTTTGATCCTGCCAGAGTGGAGTTAATGATTTTTCTCAGCCATGTTTCCCAGTGTGTGTGTCTGGACCCTGATCTATCCTACATCGCAGTCTCACTTTCTCCCATTTGAATTTTTTTTTATGTCTGTGGCATAAATTCCTTGAGTTAAGGGGTATTTTCTTGCTGTCTCACAGCCCCAGAAACCTTATGCGGAGTGCATAGTCAACTAATGTGTGGACCTTACTCTGAATGCAATTTTAACCATTGAATTACTACATACATAAGAAGTATTTGAGAATTATAAGTATGAAATTGAACCAAGTTCTTAAGCAGTGAGGGTTTAGATTTTTTTTCCCTAGGGTTGGGGGAGACAGGGAAAGTACATAAAGAAAAGCAAATATCTAGGATCTGCATGAGGATATCTGCTATTTACACAGGACACTTCTTTCAAAGGCCAAAGTACTACACCAATCTGCTATTGTTGCTGCTCATATGGCAATCATAAAGACAACCTAGGACGCAGGTAATGTCCTGTCACTGTTCTGTCCTTTCAATGTTCTGTTCAGTGAACAGCAGAAGTAGATAGTACTTCTCAAGCCAAGTCCCCATGGGTCATCTGTAGTTAGAACTCCAGCTAACTGCTGTCTGGGTATCAAGTAACAGCCCCTGAAATCAGCTGAGGAAGAGATGTGCTCTTGGGCCCTTTGTGTCTTGGTTTCTCTTTCTGAATGATGGAAATGATCTTCATGTTCTCTAATGCGCTATCTTGAAATAGTACGACTGCTAAGCAAAAACTACTGAATGTCAAAGTGGGTTAAAGTGGTGCTGAAGGACCACGCTCCTGCTCCAAAGCAGAGTTATGGCATATTCTTTCAGCATGATCGATACAACAGCTAATATTTATTAGGGGCTCACTGCATGCTAAGGAACAGTTCTAAGCACTTTATGTATATTCATTCTAAGTCACGTTTTTCATCACTGAGACAGAATACCTGACACCTGCAAGTCAGAGCAGAAGTTTATTTTGACTCATGTTTCTCATTCCGTAGTCAGCCTACTCCAAGGCAGGACAGCATGGCACAGGTGCATGGTAGAGAAATAGCGGCTCACCTTGTGCTACACAGGAAGCAGAGCAAGTCAAGGGAGGAGCCAGGGAGATAAACCCCTCTGGGTCATACCCACAGTGACCTGGCTCTTCTAACCAGGCCCCAGGACCCCATACCCCAATCGCCTCCCAAACACATAAAGCTTTGGGGGCTGTTTTAGATTTAAACCATAACACATTCCTTCAATTCTGAAAATACTCTATGATTTTAGCCTGATTTTATAGAGGAAATTGAAGCACAGAAAAGTCAAACACCACACAGTTAGTAAGTAGCAGATTGTGAAACAGTACGCACTCACATAGTTGGAGCTCCTGGCACACTCTTGTGTTGCTGTATTGTCTACCCATGACCTCATTCACTTTATGCCTAGCACAATGATTTGTATGCGGTAAGTGCTCCATAAATATTTGATGGAGTAAACCCCAAAAGCGAGTATATATGAAAATTTGCTTTTTCAATATCCTTGCAACTCTCCCAATTCTCTATTAAGATACGTAACTTTTAATGGTATTTCTCCAATTGGGAGCTACTGACTCTTCAAAGATCCATAATTTAATCTTTTTTACTTTTAGGATAAGCACACTCTGAATTATAGGGATGACAATCTCCTATGAAGTACTACATGTGGATTTCGGTGCCTGTGCATGCTGCTCTTTAGCCTCGTTACTACTTCACTTTATACTATAAAGTGTTTGTAAATGGGGAGGGGAGGAGGGGTGAAGGGAGGGCAGGGACAAGGGGAAAAAATGAGAACCAAGACCTGTCATGTAAATGTACAAGATTCCAAAGATGGATGTAACTGTACTGTATACCTAAAATGTACCAATAAACTCAATAAAAAAAATTTAAATGCAAAAGAAAAGAAAGGGAGCCGGGCGTGGTGGCACACACTCATAATCCCAGTAGGATCGCTGTGGGTTCTAGACCAGCCTGGGCTACATAGTGAGTTCCAGGTCAGTTTCAACTATGTAGTGAGACCTTGTCTCAAAAAGGAAGGAAAGACAGAAAGAAAGAGAAAGAGAAAGGAGAGAGAGGGGGGGAGGGAGAGAGAGAGGGAGAAAAGAAAAGAAAAAGGAAGGAGAGAGCACAAGGTTAATCCTTAAAAGAAAGATAAAAGTCAAGTGAAAGCCAATGACAGGGTGAACAGAAGAGATATAGCAGGTGGAAGAGAGGGAAGCAGTGAGAAAACTGACTTAATACAAGGCACCTTGCACATCATGAGAGCGATAGAGCCACGGAGAGCTCAAAAGGGCCCATACTTAAGCAGTCACTACTCCATGATTCAGGCAGAGTTGAGGGAAATAGTGCTAATTTAAATTTAAATGTTATTGCTCTGGAAGATAATTTTTATATTTAATTTATAAATGTTTTGGTTTAATCTCAAATTGTTCAGAAGCTATACATTTAGATCTGGTTTTATGACTATACTTACATTGATTTTTTAAAATTTTAAGTCAGGACTAGGGAGATCTAAGAAAAATTTGCCCTTAAAATGGTGGGCAGTGTTACCTTATATTTGAGAAACACTACACAATAATGTGTTCAAGCTTTTTCTATTCAAAATCAATTGCAAATGCAGAAGGATTAGGGGTGTCATTTACACTTCTGTGTGGAATAGTATGTTAGGCCCTTCCTTTTGAGAACAGGATTTGACAGGAAAAAGGAAAGTCAAATGGTTTCACAGAACAACAAAAAAATGTGGCCTCACAAGAATCTTTTCCTACCATTCAACAGCAGTGTAAAATTTAGAAAAAGTCATTAAACCTCTCCAAACCACCAGTCGTTTTGTAAATTAGTGGCAATCTCTTCATCCTCTTCAGCTCAAGGTTTCACCAGGAGGCACCTGATAGTAATCTACGTTAACACCAGTGCATTGGGGAGAATCTAGCAGGGCTCTAGCTTTAGGTCCTTAAATGGTGAGGTCAACAGTATTGATAAGAGAAGACCCCGACCTGCGGACTCCCTGGAGTGACTCAGGAAAGCAGGCCCACTGGGTGAGGAGGTGGCTCCACCATCTGGTGCCCAATAAAGAAGCCAGTCCAAGGGGCTCACCAGCCAGCACCCCCCCCCCCCCGCACCGAACTGAGTGCTGCCGGAGACAAAGCAGTAGTGGTCCGGCCACTGGAGTGCAGGTTTTGCTCCTTGGAGACACTAGAGACACCAGGTAAAGCGGAAAGAAGCTCGGTCGCCACTTTAAAGCGCTTAAAACGTACGCGGATGGGAACGCACGGGTTTTGAGTCAACTCCTCATTTGCTCTAGTTTCCCGTGCGCCTGGTGTGGCCCGCTTCCCTACTTCCAGGGTAGAGGGGAGCGCCCTTGAGGAACACCTTGTCTTTGCGAGCTGGCAGCCGCAGACTCCAGGAAGCTAAGGCCCTAGGCTCGCCGAGGAGGCTGCGCCCCCGCCCGGGAGCGCGTAGTCCACAGAGTGCAGACGCGCGGGTTCCCACCTGCGCCGGCT